CTGGTAATTAGTCATTTTTCTTGTGGACATATCTCCTGTCCTCTGCCAACCACTGGTGGTGCACAAATGCTGCTTGTAGAGGTTCATCTACGTGTCAAATTTGATCTCTAGAACACTAATAAGGTAGAAATGTTAACACTTTGGAGATTTATACCAGTTTCCCAAATCTAATAGCAATACTGCGCTTACATTTGACTTCGGCATGTACCAAATATTTGGAAAACCAAGACCGATTTTTTTTTTTTTTAAAGCATCTGTTATTGATCACTAACAAAGATTTCATTCAAACAGGCCAAAATGTTTCGACATTAGCAGTTTTTCATTGCATTTACTGTCCCTTCGTATTACTATGTGGTTTTATTACACGGAGCAAGGTTAATCATAAATCAAGCTGGGGACGTATTTCGAGAAAATCATATTTTGGCCGGAGAGCCGCCTCCAACTGAGCTAATAAGCTGATGTCATTATACGACACCTGTGTCTTGTTATCGCAAGGAGTGGTCTTCTCCTAATGCCTCCCTAACAATCACATGAAGAAACACAACAGATTATTAAAATCAACAAATCATAAACTTTAATGAAGACATCATCCCGCAGCTGAAGCTTCTAATGAAGAACATCGCATGTCTGCCAACGTGAGATTATTGGACATGAAGCGGCTGCCGGAGGCGTCTTCAGACAGACATACTGTAGCATAGATAAACATCCCCGAACCGTTCATTAGGCTCATAAAGGACGGTGGATAACCTGAGGCCTTGGATGACGGAGCGGCAGTCATTTACAACTCTCCACGATCAAAGTTAAGAAAGGCTGTGTTTTGTGTGCGTGCTGGCGAGGGGAGGCACAATGAGCTGGCTGCCAGGCGCAGCCCAAATGTACAGTCAGCCTAGTAATCAAGGGTTCCCAGGCACAAGACAGTCAACACAGCTGCTAGTGGAGAGCAGGGAGGGTGGATCGGTCTGGTTACTGGCAGGCTGCTAGAGTGAGCAAGCTAAGAAACATCAGTAGAAATCACGAAACTCTGCATAAATGCTTCCAATGTTAATTCCAGCCACCTTCCTCTGGGTTGAGTACATGCGGCCAGTTCGTTAGGCGGCAATTACGTGAATCCGTCTGAGACTGGTTTGACGAAAGATTGATTCCAGGGGGAAGTGGGAATTTATTTCTGTGGCGATTCGAGTTACCATGATTTTTTTTTTGGGAAAAGTTGGAGGTTTCGTGCAACGTTTTATAGGGGAGGAGGGCCGTCACCTGAAATAAGAATGACCACACTCACACGAGAAGAAATGATTGCAACACTGGCCACTGATGGAAAACAGAATGTACGCAACACGAGTGAGACAACAGTTCAGATCAACTCAAACATGTTTGATCTGATCTTTAACCAACAGCTGGGCATCCAGTGACGACAGGCACTTAATTTAAGCCACATCCCGAGCGAATGGATGTTTGAGGCTGACACCAACGTTTAGTTTATGTTTATATGTAATATGGTGGCTCTCACTTAAAATCCCTCACTGGTCATTGATTAAACCCCTAAAAACTCATCTTTGTGTATCAAATATTAACAAGTTTTTTCCATGTAAATAACCACGTTTGGCCTTAAAATGGCCAACTGTGTATCATCTCTCTGCAGCATTGATCTTTTGTATGCTAGAGCACATTAAACATCTAAAGTACTACTCAAGTAGAATGTTTTGCAAGAATGTGTAGAGATATTAACAAAGAAGACCGTAGTGTGACTTTGTGGGCATGATGTGAGTGGAACTGATGATGATTGTAAAGAAATCCACGACAAAAATGAAGAGAAAAAAGGTGTAAACTACTGTTCAGACCTGTCTGAAGCCTTAAGGTTATTCTCGCAGGGACTACTTTTGTTTGCTTGTTTAGCCTTTTATTTAAAACTCTGGTCACATTCAGTTATGAACATCCAGCAGTGTAATGTTATATATATGGTGGGAAAAGCAAAATCGGTCCCATTTAATAAGCAGCTGAACAGGTGTGCCTAACAAAGTGGCCAGCGAGGGTATACCCTGATACCAATACACTGGCTGTGTTAGTAGCAGTATGTTGTTTAAGGCGCCAGTGAGACGGGAAATACAATCCAGGAAGTCCAGTTTGAGTAACAACTGGGGTTTAAGGTTATCAGATGCCAAAAATCTTTAGAGCAATCTACATGAACATGGTCACAGCAGCAACTATTTTATCTTTTGTTTGAGTCAACTTTGTTGCCGGACGCAGCTGTTTGGTGTTTGGGGTTCTACTGAGTCACTTCGGTATGTTGTTGCCAACACCCAAAAACTAACCATAAACTAGAAAAATAGCCCGTGGCTTGAACCTAAGTTGAGTCGAAGAATTTACACTGGGACATAAGTTAATAATTCTGCTGACAACTCCTAATGTCAGTGGAATTTGTTGATTACATTACATTTAACTCGTTTAACCAACCACCTCCAATTAGCTCCCCCCATGCAACCACCATGTTATTCAGTGTAATTTTGGTTGACTCGATAATGACCGCAATTTCCTGCGTAGGAAACGATGACAGTGGAAGGGGAGGACGCATGCGGAGGGAGATGATTCAAGCTGTATTTAAAAAGTACCGAGAGTCTCAACACGAGCCACAAGCTGCTCAGCGCCACACTTCGCCAAAAAAAATGAATAAATAAATAAATAATTCATTAACGATTATTAATTGCAGATTCCCACTTTAATGATCAGGTCAGTGTTTACTTGTGCCGGGGCTCTTATAAAAAGCTGTTTTCAAAAGGCTGCGAAGTCTATTAAAGGGAGAATCCAAGCAGCTGGGCCGGGCAGCGTCGAAGCCACATCCAGCCGAATCAACAACAGACGCTTCCCATGTTGTGGAGCAGCCACAGCTGCTGCTTTCTAGCTGTTCTCCAAATTAAACCGCGATTAAACACACACTCACAATTATAAATGAATCCAGGCACGCACATTCTGCACAGCCGAGCCTTCAAGCGTGTGCGTGTAAGCCGCTCGCGAACGAGAAATGCATCCATCTTATGCGTAGGTGCGCAAACAAGCATAAACGCCGGCTTGTGTTCGTCTCATCTCGACATGACAAGGCAGCCAATGTGGAGGAATGAGGTGGGAGAACAGAGCAGCGTCCAACTCCAACCTGACGAACAGAGAGAGATGTTGGCTGACTGACGTTGCCCTGAAAGCCTTTCAGCAGGTCAGGGCAGAACGAACCAGAAAGACAGATTGAGTGAGTGCAAGAGAGAAATGTGTGTGTGTGTGTCAGAGTCAACCGAGTCGAGAGCAATTGGGTTAGTGAAAGAAGCATGTGTGTGTGTTTGGTGATTACTTGTGCGTGAAAGGCTGCACGGCTGCCCGAGCTTAGATTTATGCTTCAACATGAAGTCATGTGTTGGACAGAGTAACGGGACACAGTTCACCCTGAACTGTTGATACTGTTTTTCTTGGTGGGGATAATTTGTGAATGGTCATACACAATCACACGCTGCTGTAACCGCAAATCATTTGATCTGTTTTGAGAAGAAAATGATCCTCAATTTACACATCTGTGTGGTCGGGATTTAATTTTTTATTTCTTTTAAAAACCAGAAAGGCGTATGAGAGTCGTTTTTTTCCCCCGATCGAGGCTATGAATCAGTTTTAAAGGTCTGCGAGGGCACTGTGAGCTGTGAGCCGTAGGTAAACACCTTTACCTTGCTCACTGACCCAGTTGTAGCGAGGGGAAGAACAAACATCCTCACCTTTTACCCGAGGCTTGTCTGGACTCGCCAGACGGAGGCGTGGGGGGAAAGGAAGGGGACCAGCACTGGCTTCTTTACAGAGCCGTTCTTAAGTCCCTGCATGTTTTCTTTATTAGGCTGCTTGTGATTAAGGGACACTGATGAAAGGGCAGCAGCTTTTCCGTCAGCCATCCCGATTGTTAGTTGTCTGTGCAGCACGTAAACCAAAAGGTGGAGGGACTTTGCCGTGGGATCATGACAAAGGCTTTGAACATGTTTACGTGATGATGTCAGACCGTGACGTCAAAATGAGGACCCAAGGAGTTTGCTGTTTTGAGAAACAAATTTACTGAAATTAAAATTGATATAAATGAAACTGGAAAGCCTTGGGTAAGTCCTTGCTTCCAGCTTAGTTGTGAACATTCACTTTCCACTGCATGAACTTTGGACAGGCACAAGGCAGCGCAAACGTTTACAGGAACAACCCCATAACTGGACATGCATTTTACAAAATTAACAGATAAAGGAGACCTGAAACTAACGATTGAGTTAATAAAGTCTTTAGGAAAATGTTTACCAAGGTAACAGATCAAGTGAAAAGTAGTCATTTTTTTTCCATAGACTTCTATACAATCTGATCTCTTCTTCCAACCAGAGGAGTCTCCCCCTGCTGGCCAAATGAAAGAATGCACCTTTTAGGCCCTCCAATTTACAGATCTGAAGACGATGTCTGCATATCATATATACTCTTTTTAAATGTTGAAGTCACATAATGTTCATACATATTCTGTGATCAATCAAGCCAAGGATTCAAAGCCTACAGCATCAAAATAACACAATTTATAAGTAATTAACTGGTAAGTTTATTCAAATATTTTTCCCAAAACAAGACCGAATACTTCCAAACCTTGATATTTTTTATTCTTTTGTGCCAGTGACCTCCTATTGTTGTCATTAAACCACATCCTGATATCACACTTCCCATCTTAATGATTAGAGAACGTTAGCGTTTTCTCTTTTGCTAAGTTTTTTGTCATACATTTTTCCCACCTTTATTTTGGAATTTTTAGGGGGAAAAAATTACCAGCAATGACCCCAATAAGCTGTCGTAAAGATTTACTCAAGAGGGAAATATGTAGAATCGTTAGGAATTCATGTTAATTAGGAGAAAAATATCTGTCAAAGCTTAGTCACAAGTAAATAATGCTCTATCTGTAAACAAAATGGTGTTCGCTATTGCTCAGAGAACACATCTGAATCCAGAGTTACATGTCTTACCTGTAGGATGACAATGGACCATGCTCTGCATCTATTCATGCGTTCCGGCTCTTAAAGTCCTCACAGAAACTGGTAAATCTGCAGAGAGACACAAAAAAACTATTCATCTGGTGTTTTTTTTTTCCAGCATATATTAGAATGATAATTCTGACAGACCATGAGAAGATTTTTCCTGGCTCAGAAGCAGCCTATCAGGGGGGTGACTACACATGACAATGAGCACGATCACTCCACAAAAAGTAAAGTGACAGCAATCCATACATTTTCCTAATATTTCTGACTACTTAATAAGCAAAAATGTCTGTTACGTATGAGTAAATGGAACCCTGATTAACAAAACTGGTAGCAAAATAGAATTGTTACTTTTTATTTTCAGCTATTTTCCTATTTTCTCTTGGAGCTCGTTGAAACCTCTTTGAATAAAACTTCTTCCTTTATGCAGGAAAAACCCTGCTTGGCCAACTTTGCAATAATCAATTCCAGTGGAGTAAAAACTATGTTTTCCAAAATGGGTGCATCTGTACCTTAAAGAGGAAAAACAATCGGTGCTTATTTCCATGAAAACCACTTGGAAACAATCAATTTAAAGCTTTCCAGTTACCGAAAGAGGCCTGCAACAAATAATGCCGTGGAAGAAAAATTGTTTTAACTGGCAGAGAATACAGGAGAAAGAGCCTCTAATGGCTGCAATGCACACATACAAAACAACAGCAGCAAAACACACACATGTTCTCTAAATCTGCAAGTCTTTTTCGCCTCCCGACTCTCCAGCTGAGAGGTCATGCCACCGCCGGGTCCCTTCAGTCTGTTAATAAGGTCTGAGGGGGTCAGTTAATGGTGAAGAGTACGCACACTGACAGATCAACGCCCAGTGTGTCCACAGGCTGCAGGTGATGATTTGACAGGTAAAGAGACGAGCAGATGAGAAGGTCTGATAGGAGGACAGGAAGGCTGTATCTCCCCACCGGCGACGCCAGTCCAGGAAGGGACAGGTAGCATAATAACCAGGCCGTGCTATGTCCTTGAGTGCGTCTAGCAGCTCAACGGAACAGAAGGCCATTCAAGCCCAACATATGGTCCACATCACCAATTACTAAGGTGTGTGTCGATAGGGAGAAGATGAAGAGAGTGGTAGCCACAGAGGGAGTTTAAATATGGACAGATGAGGAGAGGAGGAACTTTTAGCCAATTTAGAGCGACGACCTGAGGTCAGAGGGACCCATTTTACCCGCCGTAATGGCTTAAAGTTGCTCCCCAGTGGAAGTGCAGACAACTGAATTATTCAAACCAGAAACCTAACAGCATTTACACCTCGACAACATCCTATTGAGAAATAAGTGCTCAAAAGTTTTGCCTCTTGGCATACAGAAGGCCCAAAGGTAATGCAAGCTTGTGCTCAAATGGCTTTTTAATGAAGAACATGCTTCCTGTTTTCTGCTTTTTTTTTTTTTTAAACTTTACATTTAGTTTTATGTTTCCTACAAATCAAGTGTTTACCACATGCCATACGGGGTCTGTTACAACCACAAGAAAACAAGTTAGGTTTTACATCGTTTTACAGCATTTACACAGACGCACAAGCATAAATGGAGACAATATATTCAAGAGCAAACAATAAAAATGCTTGTTTCTGAAAATTAAAAATAACTATAAAGTCAGGCTCATCTAGACACATATACCTGTCCTCCAACACAGATGTTGTGTGGGTTTCATTTTTAAGTCACCGGATGGTATTGGAAAGAAAACCATTGCAGTTAAGGCTCTGTAGTGCTATTTTAAGTGTGATTATACCTGAGAAATGTACACATTGGGGATTAAACCCAACAAAAATTATATAAAACACTTCCTGATTTGACATATATATTAAGCATAAGACTCAACAGGGTTATGAATGATGGAGATTAACCCAACTGATGCAATAGATGCGCTAAACAGGGTCAAAACAAAAATTAAAATTAGGAGCATAAGATTTGCTCACAAGGTTCAGGGTGAAGTGCTTTAAGGGATTTTGTTCTTTGTCATTATCCTTCCAGCTTCTTCCCGATTCCTTACTACAAATACAGTGTATTGAAGTGGAAAAAGCTCAGGCTTCCATGCTGATTTGGTCCCAGTTTGACCCTAATTAATTCGCATACAACCATCTCCTATCTAGCCCAGTTCACTGGTAAGCCCAGGCCAAGCATGCATGCACCAATTAATCCAATGGCTCGAGTCACCGTCTGCTCTCATTTCCAAAACAGTCACTCAACTTCTGGGGGGATATAAGTCCAGGAATCTCTTTCCTTATGCCAAACTCTTTTTCTAAACCTTTTAAATGTACAGGCAAAGATGCTAAGTTTTTTTGTTTTTTTTTTGAAAAGGCACCGTTCCTGTGAGGGGAACAAAAACTCAACTCAGAGTAAAAAAAGGAACTGCTCCCCCAAATTCCTACCTTTCCACAATTCTGAAAATGTTCCCTTTGAGCCAGTGAAGACACAAACAATCTGTTGATTCAGTGGCAGAATCCTTCCCCCTAAGCCGTTATTTGCTTTAGCGGCGATGACACAAGGGGAGGAATTTGAGCAATGCCTGTGTATCGTAGACTCATTTCCTCTGAGCGAGAGCCATCTCCAGACAGACAAGACGGCACTGAAATCTGGTTTATTCCTGCTCCGGTTCCGGGTCGGCCGGCGTCTTGCAGACATGTTGCACGCTGGTGTTTGACAAACATTCACATATACAGGCTACTTCCTAACCATTTATCCCTAACAAGCGGTGAACATGTAATGGCAAGACGCATTCATACATGGAAACACTTTCAATCAGGCATGAAACTATATTTTCCAATGACCTCATCAGACACAAAAAAAAAAAGATGAACGCCCGTCACTCATCACTTGTTTTGTCTGAATAATACTTGCCACCCAATCACCAGCTAACGAGACAATAAATTCAATTGAACTTGCTGCAGAGGAAGACACCACCTATCTATGAGCACACCCTAATCCCTGCTCTTTTATGGTTTTCAAACATTATTTTGTGTTGAACTTCGCAGAAACGACTAACAGCTACAGGATTCCAAAGGGCTTACTGTCACATTCTATACAAATGGAGGTCTCTCGCGATTGTAAGGGATCAAAGTAGCTTCGCAACTGCGCCGCTTTCAAGTAGAAAATGAAAAGCGTGAAAAGCCGGAGCATGCTCTCTCCCTGCGACGGGATCAACTCAGCCTTCAGAAACCTTTGCTTGTTCAATAAGAGATCAATGCCAAGAATTATCGTGGCACTTTGCCATTTTCTCTCGCTCTGTTCTTCCTCCCTCCTTGGCCCTCCCCGATATTTTTCCACTGGCAAAGTCAATGATTTGTCATGAATTTACATGCTAGTAAAACGCTATGTGAGTTTAAAGAGCACTGAAGGATGCCCTTTTTTTTTTTTTTCTTTTTTCTCAAGTGCTCCAAAGTCCGGGAAAAGAGAAGCAGAAGGCGCTGTGCAAGCAGATTAGCGATCTTTGCAATTTGTGGATGCCGGCCAAGAAGCATCTACCCGCTCCTCTCTTGTGTCTTTTTTCAGCTGTTCGATTCCATGGCAGATATGTAAATTGCTTCTGAAAGTCACACAGGAGTTAATACGGGACCGGTTGGTTTTTAAAAAGGCAAGAAGAAAAAAAATGTAAGCCTGTATCAAATGACATACGGATATCAACATGGGAGATCTGCAGTGATGAAAGCAGGAGTGTAGGGAGAGAGAGTCGGGAAAGGCAACAGCGAGATGAAAACAGGCTATGGTGACTAAACAAATTAAATGATCACAGGATGGGGGGGGCGGGTTGGTTTTAAAAGGGATGAATAAACTTTAGAATCAAGTCAGCCCTCGATTTTAATCCCATTACAAACTGTAAAAGCTGCCTGACTGAACCTACCTTTAAAGACTTTGTGAGTACTTGTACCAAAGTGCTAGGGGTAAAAAACAAACCAAAAAAACCCCCCACAAATGAATACCCACATGCACAGACAAGCACACATCCACCCACATGCACACCTGTCACCTCACTCCTGTGTGGGTGGATCAATGATTTTACCCAAATAAACAGAAGAGTAAGTTGGTCGAAGCTGCGTTTTATAAATCACTACAATTCTTTTAGAAACTTGGTGGTCAACAAGGAAACTCCTGTCAAGGTTGGCTTTATTGAGAAATTAATTATTAACATGCAAACTATTTGCAAAGTCTACCTCACTTAAATCCTTCTTCAGACACCGGTGTGCTCTCACATATCACATAGGAGTTCAGAGCAGAGTGCCCAGTTTCCACAAAATTACGTTCCTATCCACTATTTTCTGTACGTTTGTTTGTAACACATCACAAACACATTTCTAATCAATGCATCCTTGCCATTTTATTTTACATTTACATTGCATCAGTCACGCATTAGATGAGATGGGACTTATCATCCTGGTAAGCCACAAAATCTATGTCAAAAAACAAGCTTCAAAGGCGATAGTGCAAACATTAAAAAAAAAAAAATCAGGAGAAAATATTTAAAAAAAAACAAAAATATACAGAAGTGCCAGTTATTATTCATTAATTGATTAATTGCCATGAATAATTTAACTGGTTAAAAATATATTTACCAATAAGGCAGCAGACAAAGCTGTAGTACCTGCTTGTGCCACCAGGGGGAAAGTCTTACTGTTTACCACTATGGCTATCCAAAAAGGCAGTCACTCCGCCTTCTGTCAGATCCGTGTTGACAAGCGGAGAGCATTGTGGGAGTTTAGCCAGTAAAGTGCAACCATGACAAATTGCTATGTGACTCTTAATGCCTACCAGTCAGAAATCTCAAGTTTTTAGGAAGAGAAAGTGCATTAATTGAACAATACTCTAAGCAATTGGTTGGTGACATACATTGCTCTGACAGTGTATGCCACATGACTCAAACCAGAAAGTTTTGTGATAACTGGGTTAAGTTCACTTTATTAATTGATCAGCCATTGATTGATGAGGCTTCAGTTAAAGAAGTTGTTCAAAATTTGCATCCCTACTTTAAACGTGTAGAGAAAGGGCTGCATTTTAACTCAAACCATGACACTTTTCCTAATC